TTTGTATCAATTTGACTGTATGATCTGGTAGAACTGTAAAGTGCCTTGAGATGACATGTGTTGTGAATTTGGCGCTATATAAATAAACTGAATTGAATTGAATTGAATATACACTACTAAAAAGTTTTCATACATATTATTAAAAAGCTTTTATATACACTACTAAAAAGCTTTCATACATACTACTAAAAAGCTTTCAAACATACTACTAGAAAGCTTTAATATACACTACTAAAAAGCTTTTATATACACTACTCAGAAGCTTTCATACATACTACTAAAAAGCTTTCAAACATACTACTAGAAAGCTTTCATACTGTATACACTACTAGAAAGCTTTCATACATACTACTAGAAAGCTTTCATATACAATACTAGAAAGCTTTCATATACACTACTAAAAAGCTTTCATACATACTATTAAAAAGTTTTCATATACACCACTAAAAAGCTCTCATATACACTATTAAAAAGCTTTCATATACACTACTAGAAAGCTTTCATATACACTAGTAAAAAGATTTCATACATACTATTAAAAAGCTTTCATAGACACTACTACTGAAAGCTTTCTAGTTCAGAACACATGTCATCTCAAGGCACTTTAAAATTCAACCAGATCATACAGTCAAATTGATTCAAAGTTAGCTAAGGTAAACCAGTTGATTGCATCGACTCATTGACTCGAAAGCAATCCCTCACACTCAGTGATGGGACTAACGGCGTTGAAAGTAACGGCGTTACTAACGCCGTTACCTTGTTTTAGTAACGAGTAATCTAACTAATTACTTTGACTGTAACTATAACGCAGTTACCATTGCAGGCACCCCGTTACTGCGCGTTACTCAGGTCGCACAATGAACCTTTTTTCATGATAGGACTCGTGCGCAGCTGCGTGAAGCTGACACCCCACCCACGTCAAAAAACTCTGCAAATAGACTGAATGGTTAGTGCAACGTTAGTGCAGATTTGTGCAGAAAAAAATATTGTTTGTGCTACTTTTGTTTAAGAGATATTAAGGATTTATTTTAGGTCATCCAGAGGTGCGCGCCTTGTCCTGAGAGGGGAGGATGAGAATGGCTGATGAATAGTGAGATTCCGTCTGTCAGTTGAATAGGTGGGTGTTTCTGCTGGCGGGTGTTAACGTACAGCACACACAGAGAGATGGAGAGTGAGGAGGATCCAGCAGCAAAACAGCGTTTTCCACATGGAAATACCGGTGTTACGTAGAGCTGCGTTTCCCCATCACATAACGGTTTCCTCTGCATCTCCACACAGCGCAGGCGGCAAGAGTCACCGCGCAAGCGACAGGAAACGCGCATGCTCGCTAAAGGCGCGCAACAGTCGCCCTGTGCTCGCGCCACAGGAGAACTATGGAGAGCGTGAACGATCAAATGAATCTGACAACAGCCAGAAATTATAGCCTATATGGAGAAAGGGAGAAATCTGGATGGATGGTTGGATGGATGGATGAATGGATGGATGGATGGATGGATGGATGGATGGATGGATGGATGGATGGATGGATGGATACTCTGCCTTCTCAACCTACTGTTTTTTTTATTTTAAACATTATTTGATGGCCTTTGTGGCAGGGGTGGAGATCCATATTTTATGTCACACACAGAGTATACATCTAGATAGATAGATAGATAGATAGATAGATAGATAGATAGATAGATAGATAGATAGATAGATAGATAGATAGATAGATAGATAGATAGATAGATAGATAGATAGATAGATAGATAGATAGATAGATAGATAGATAGATAGATAGATAGATAGATAGATAGATAGATAGATAGATAGATGTTGCAGTATCTATAAAAACCCAAACACACAGGATTTCAGAATTAGACATCCCCAGTTATTAATTTCATATACTCACCGGATCTGAATGTCCTGTTATAAAACTTCACATGGCGTTCCCCCCTGATGTCATTTACGTTGAGTTGCAATAAATGCTAAACTCTCTGCAGGTTCTTGTCTTTGTCGTCCGCTCTATTCAGCTGGCTTTGGAAACACACGGCGAGAAGGTGGGGGCTGGGTGGTGAGGTTTACGGGGGCGAGAAACTCAAAAGTAACGCAATAGTTACTTTTACTAGTAACTAGTTACTTTTATTGTGGAGTAACTCAGTTAGTAACTCAGTTACTTTTTGGGAGAAGTAACTAGTAACTATAACTAATTACTTTTTCAAAGTAACGTGCCCAACACTGCTCACACTAAGCATGCTTGTAGCAACGGTAGAGAGGAAAAACTCCCTTTTAACAAGAAAAAATCTCCAGCAGAACCAGACTCAGTGTGAGCGATCATCTGCCGAGGCCAACTGGGGTTCAAGGAGACAGAAGCAGACATACGGTAAGAAGCAGAGATACAAAAAGCAACTGTAAACAAGCTCCACAAGTGGACCCATCTAGAAAACACACAGCCCGACAGCCGAGCTATGAGCCAGCTCCGATGTCAGAGGATAAAGAGAGCACATCCAGCCGGTCATGGTCAAAGAAACAGGATACACTGGAAAACAGGCAGAGCTCAAACATCTATAAACAAAGGTATTGATGGCAGCAGCACAGCTGATATTTCTCTCCAGGATGGTGTCACAGCCAAAAAGGAACAGACCAGATGAAGCTACTTTTAGAAAAAGCAGAGAGCATAGCATTAAGATTGAACTAACAAATTCTGCAGAGTGATGAAGTAGAATGATGAAAATTAAGTCCTTATGTCCTTCAGCAGTCTAAGCCTATAGCAGCATAACTATAGAGATAGCTCAGGATAACCTGAGCCACCCTAACTATAAGCTTTATCAAAAAGGAAAGTTTTAAGCCTACCCTTAAAAGTAGACAGGGTGTCTGCCTCACAGACTAAAACTGATAGTTGGTTCCACAGGAGAGGAGCCTGACAACTAAAAGATCTGCCTTCCACTCTATTTTTAGAAATTCTAGGAAGCACTAGTAAACCTGCAGATTGAGAGCAAAGTGCTTTGTTAGGGACATAAGGAACAATTATATCTCTGATATAAGATGGAGCTTGGCCATTTAAGGCTTTATATGTGTGAATTTTGTGAATTTTAAATTATATTCTGGATTTAACAGGAAGCCAATGAAGAGAAGCTAGAATAGGAGAGATATGATCTCTCTTTTTAATTTTCATCAGAACTCTGGCTGCAGCATTTCGGATCAGCTGAAGGCTATCCCTGATAGAAAAGAATTACATTTACAGTCCAGCCTTGAAGTAACAAATGCATGGACTAGTTTCTCAGGATCACCTCTGGACAGGAGATTTCTAATTTTTGCGATATTCCACGGATGAATTCTCACCTTGCCTTCTATCTCTAATAGTATATAAAAGGACAACGGACTGAATAATTTTCAATAAAGTTTAATATACAAGTATCAGGCTGAAACTTATGGCAGCAGTCATAATGGTCTGCAAAGTTGTTGGTCTTTCATCTAGCTCTTGGACATCTATTCCTAGAGCTATATTGGCAAAAAAGGACACAAAAAAGAAAAAAGTTAGATCAGTGGCCCCCAACCTTTTTCAATGTCTGGTCTGAAGCTGTAGTACTCTGTGGTCACTATGGAAATCTTTAACCTGCATTTAAATAAGCCACCACAAAAGCTTAGTGTATGAAAATGGCCAACTAACTACTTACAATAGTAGTAAATCAGTGAAAGCTCTGAGTTTGTGGTATCGGGACCTACAGTGTGAAACATATATCAAGAGTGAGTCATAGACGCATGTTATGGAGACAATTTTATAAACGACATTTATAAACTTTAATTTTAACCAAATCCAGATTACGTTGGATATAAAAGCACAACATAGTCACCAATGGCGACTGGTGGAGTTTTGTCCAGGGAGAGCTATAACTTAAAAAAATATGTATACAAAAAACCAATCAAATGTATCCTAAGATAATACACAGTATATTTACATGAACGCCAACAACAAAAGACATAAAAAATAAAAAAAAACATTCTGAAAAGTTCTTTAAATAAGTCATACTTGTCTCTATCTATGCTGGGTCTGGTCCTGACATTTGAAAAAGGACGCAGGGAAAGTAGAATAAAGCATTAACCTCGCTGCATGCTGTTAGCCAAGCCTTGTTGCTAATTAATTATATAAATCTGTCAATCAGCCGAACTTTATAACAGACGTCAGCACTGTGGCGGGTGGTGGCATGCAAATAAAGTTACTTTCCGCTTTGGGTGTCCTAGAGCTACAGCCCAGGATGGTCCTATCATTTTGCGCTGAAGAGGAGCTACTGCGCATGAACAACTTTTAATGAGAGGCAATGGGCAAAGATTTTTGCGACCTGGGGTAGAAATAATCTGACGACAAACAAAACAGCTTTACTCGTCAATAAAGATTACATATTTATCTTGCATGTCTAAATATATATAAATATATTTAGAAATATTTTAATTTTATAATTACATTTTTATTAGTTTAGGCCTCGATCAAAGTCATTGGGTGAGTGGGGCGGCGCCCTTGCACCTTCTATTGTACAGCCACCACTGATAGGAATCCTTTTTGATTATTAACTTATAACCTAGCCTAAGCTGGGAAATCTCTGGGCTGCTGGCCAGTCTGGTAATAACGAGTCTCTGTGGGTGACATGAGCTGCAGGTACAAGGATGTCTGTTGTGTGCTTAGGGTCACATCAGCCAGAGCTGTAGGGTGTGAATAAGTTATACAGCTTCCTTCTGAAAAGTGCAGAAAGAGGGCAGGAAGAGGGATCTGAAGTGCTCGTCTTTGCGTTACGAAAACACATCACTGCTAGTTTTTGATTAATTTGGCAGCCGAAATGATCAATCAACAATGGAATATCAATCAAAAATCAAATATCTGTTATTTTATATTTAAATATAATTTAGCCCTTTTGTCTCTGTCATCAAGGTATCAAAATATGTTAAATGATACATTTTAATTGACATGCATTATAGCAGTGCTCGGTGAGGTGGATCAAATCTAACATCTCTCTATCTCCCATCAGAAACAATTTCAAAGATGTACCTACTGACCCTGCTGACACTGGCTGTGTTGCTCTGTTCATCATCCCCTGTAAGTGGAGGAAAAGTTTTGGTGTTCCCTGTGGACGGAAGCCACTGGGTCAACATGAACATCATCATTAAAGAGCTTCATATCAGAGGCCATGAAGTCACTGTGCTCCGAGCGTTAGACTCTTGGCATATTAAACCAAATTCCTCTCACTTCAAGACCATCACCGTGAACTCATCGACTGGTTTCAGTGAGCAAAACTTTGGGTCATTTGTGACAAGATTACTGAAGATGCGGCGCGAAGGAACTTCATTTTGGTCTTTCATTTCTTTAGTTCCCAACATATTGACACAATGGTATTTCATGCATGAGCAGGTTCTACAGATGACAGAAGAAATTTTTGAACATAAAGCAATCATGCAGAAATTGTCTGATGCCAAATTTGATCTGGTTCTTACTGATCCTGCATTTGGTGGCGGTGTCTTTCTGGGTCACAGATTGGGTCTTCCACTTGTCTTTAATGTCAGATGGGCAATTCAAAGTGAAGGGCATAACGTAATTGCCCCCTCCCCACTCTCATATATTCCCATACCAGGATCAGAGTTGACTGATAAAATGACATTTAAACAGAGGGTCAAGAACTTTCTCATATATGTCATAACATGTATTCAATTTTGGTACATTATAGAACCAAACTACAAACCGTTTGCTCATCGTCACTTTGGCAAAGACGTAAATTATATGGAGCTGTTTCAAGCAGCTGACGTCTGGCTGATGAGAAACGACTTCACATTTGAGTTTCCACGACCAACAATGCCAAACATCGTCTACATGTCAGGGTTCCAGTGTAAACCCTCCAAACATCTCCCTAAAGAACTGGAGGATTTTGTTCAGAGTTCAGGAGAACATGGTGTCATAGTGATGACATTGGGAACATTGGTGGAACAGCTGCCTGAGGACCTCACTGAGGACATTGCTGCAGCTTTTGCTGAGCTCCCTCAAAAGGTGATCTGGAAGCACAAAGGAAAGAAACCATCCACACTTGGAAACAATACCTTACTCTTGGACTGGTTACCCCAAAATGATCTCCTGGGTCACCCCAAAACTAAAGTGTTTGTGGCTCATGGGGGCACTAATGGAATGCAAGAGGCAATCTATCATGGAGTCCCTTTGGTTGGCTTGCCTCTGCTGTTTGATCAGCAAGATAACTTCTTCAGAATGGCATCAAGAGGAGTGGCCAAAGTCCTGGACTATGGAACAGTGAATAAAGATATCTTCCTGGATGCCCTGAAGGAGGTTCTTTATGAACCTTCCTACAGAGAAAAGATGAAGAAGCTGTCCAGTCTTCAGAGAGATCAGCCAATGAAACCTCTGGACCGAGCCATTTTCTGGATCGAGTTTGTTATGAGGCATAAAGGAGCAGCTCATCTGAGGACAGAGTCCTACAAGATGTCAAAAACCCAATACCACTCTGTTGATGTTTTGGCTTTCCTGTTTGGGACTGTTCTGCTACTCTTCACTATTTTTCTTTCTGTAGGCAAATGTATCTGGAGGCGAATGTTTCACCAAAGAAAAGCCAAAAAGGAATAACAAATATGTCCTTAGACATCCTTGTCTTTTGTTTGAGAAACCTTATAAAAAATTAAGCCAAGTTTTAATATTAAGCATTAAATCCAACCTTTACTTAATCTGCTTTATTTAGCCATAATCTAACGTTTCCAGTTCTTTAATTGGTTTAGATTGCTTTAATTTATATAAAATATTTTAAATGTCTTAAGTCTTTAATTTGATAATGATTTATCTTTTCAAAAATGAATGTGTTTACAAAAAGAAAGCAACATCAGGATTTTTGATCTAATCTAAATAATCAAACTAGAGGATGCTAAATTAAATCAGTGGACATTTAGATTCTTTGAACCACAAAAATCGCTTTGTGAAAAACTCATTAATTTCTTTCTTTAAACTAAGCTGATTTTTTTGTCTCAGGTTTACAATTTTGTGTACAGATACCAATGTCAGTAAAATAAAAATACAAAGTGAATATGAACTGAACTCTTGGATTCAATTTTTTTAGTTGAGATGACTGTCTCGACTGAAGCCCAATCTGTCAGCAAGCAACATGGAGACAGTAAAAAAAATGGTTTTATAAGATCAAAACTTGACAATCTGCATCTTTATGGAATAAGCCAGACTACTGTTGCATGTTTGCAACTGGCACAAAATTCAGATACCTGATTTTTAACTTAAACTGTTAAGACAGAGAATATTTCTCCAATTTTGACATCCCTACATTTTAAAATCACTTCAATATGATTTTTTTTTCTTTAATAGTTCTGCCCCCTCTCATCTCTCTTATCTGTGGCAGGTATATTGTATTTCCCACAGCTCTCTCTAAAGATCAGCCAATCAAATGGCATCATTGAATCCATGAACCAGATATAAGCTCTGTGTTTGCAGAGCTTCCTCTGTTGCAGGTCCAAAACAAGCTGATCATGTAAGACAGGCTACCTCTATGTTTTTTCTTTTGCTCTTGTTTAAAAACACACTTTTGATCCATTGCCTTTGAACCTTTATGGGTTGTTCTTGACCTCATTGTTTGAACTATACTTTCTATTGTGAATGCCTATTTTTCTATCTTGACTCTTTTATGTATTTTTATAGCTTTTTCCTTTTTTATATATCCTACAGCAGTTTGGTTGGCCTTGTTGCTGCTTTACAGTACTTTATAAACAAAGTGGTATGGTAAAAGCAGTCATTAATAGGGGGAAAAGATTTTAATCTTCCTTCAGACATAAAGCTTTTATTTACATTAAACATTTCTTCGGAGTTCATGTAAATACACACACATATGGAAACAATAATAACTGAATGAAGTCTGAAATTACGCTTGTTCACCTTTGTTCTTGTATTTATGTTTATTTGGTACTCTGTGTTTTATTTCGCTTCTTACAAGTAGCAACTTTAAGTGCTAAATTTTAAAATGCAACTTGAAAAAATACCCCCAGTTTATTCCAGCCTACAAGTCCTCATTATATTTTTTAGATTTTAGTTCAAGATTGTGTTTATCGGTTAAATGAAGTTTAGTTAAAACCTATTAGATGTTGAGGTAGGTCAGCTAGACACGGATTATAGTTAAGTAACAGTAATAATACTGCAGAACAGATTAATCCTGAGAGAGGGCCTTAGGGGCCCAAGCTTTCGCTGTTGCAGCTTCAAAGCTCTGGAATGACCAGTGTCCTGTCAGATGAGCATACCCGGTCAGACCAGCATACCCATACTCAATACCTGTTTATCCCTTTAGTTTATCCCTTTAGTTTTGTAAGAAGAATAGACTTTAAACTACCTCAACGGGTATGTATCTCTTTAGTCATGTACAAAAGAAATATTTAATTACTTGCTTTGTTACGTTTTTTGAAGCGTATGGTGATCTGACCTTAAATAGTCTTTTTTATTTTTTACATGACTAAAGGGATACACACCCGTTGAGGTAGTTTAAAGTCTATTTTTCGTACAAAACTAAAGGTATAAACTCAAATCTGACGTCTAGTGCATTCGAATTGACTATAGGTATGCTGTTCTGACGGTGTATGCTGATCTGACAGAACACCAGCCTCAGCACATCAGAAAGGCCTCTTCTCTGACCATTTTGAATCTCTTGCAAAATCCACCATCTCGCATTGGCTTTTAACATATAGCAAGATAGCAGCCTTTATTTTATTTTTATTCATTTATTTATTATCTTTTATTCCTTTTATCTTTTACCCAGTTTTATTGATTTGATTGTGTGAATGTCATTTTTACCCATATTTTAGCTGTTTTGTTTTTATCTTTACTATTTTATGTTTTATTTAATTTTTTCTTTTCAGTATAGCATGTTGGTCAGCCATTTAGTGTATTTGAAGATTTGATAGCCGAAGCTGTCTTTTAAAGCTCCTTTCAAAACATATTAAGTGGATTTAAGCCCAGGCTGACAAGGCAGCTAAAAAACACTTAGAGATAAAATAAACAGAGTCATTTGGATCATTATTTTGCTGTAAAACCAGAATATGCTGGAGCTCCAGATAATAAACTGACGATCTTTAGCATTTTCTGCCTAATGAATTCTGTTTTACAGCAAGACCTTTATATTCTGAAACAGGAAAACAGGCCCAGACCATTACCTTAGTGTAATGTTTGCGTTTCCTTTTACTAAAATACTGTGTAAGTTTAACATTGGATGTAATAGCATGCACACTATACAAACGCCTCCATACTTGTCTCATCAGTCCAAAGAATGGCCTTTTGTCAATATGTGTTCTTGTGTGTTCTCATGTGCTCATGAAACATCTTCTACTTGAGCTCTAGTAATGTTCCAACTCACAAGAACAGCAGATCGAGAACGGACAAAGTGCCCGGATGTTTTTCTCGCCCCTCCCTCTTTACTGAGTATGCATCAGAACATTCCTGTATGTTCTCAAGATTGACTGCTGTCCCAGAATGCACTGCGGCAGCAGCAGCTTGCAGGGAAGCACTAACAGAGCTCAGAGTATTAAGTTAAAAATGTAACTTTTCTGATGTTCCTCAAAAATACATTTTACATTCATTTGAGGCCATGACATTAAACTTTAAGCTTCAGTATATGGTAGGGTGACCAGATTTGGGCATCTGAAAAAGAAGACACTTTTTTTTGGTGGGGGGGGGGGTCGCTGACTGGACCGGATAAGGCAGGCGGGGGAAAGCACGTCATGGCTACCGTCAGCGGGTAGGGTTCGGTCACTCCGTCCCCCGCTGGCTCCATCCCTCCGTCGGCCGGACTTCCCGGACCAGCCCCCGAGCTCATGGCTCGGTTCTGCTAGACAATTTTGAAATTCCCCCCTGGACATTTTTTTAGGTATGAAAAGTAGGACATGTCCGGGAAAAAGAGGCTGTTTGGTAACCCTACTAAAAAAAGTTGATGTTAAGAGGACCGTGGCAATCAGCAGATCTCCGGGGCTAACCGCAGTCAGCGCTAATGTTAGCCTGTCTACAGCAGCCCTCTCTCGGCATAGGCGTGTTTGAAGCAAACCTGGCTGTTTTTTTTGTTTTTTTTTCAAAACTAAATGAAAAAGTCATACTTTATTATTATCTAGAGATTATAAATATAATGAGGCGAAACACAGTTCCAGACTAGCTTTGAATGTGGTGATGTCATGATTATGCTTCTGTTTCATTTTACACATATTTATTCTGCGTGCTCTTGTTCTACCTGAGTCCAAAATTTTTTTATATGTTATTGTCAAGAATGTATTTGGCGAGAACACAAGTCCATATTCGCATTCTTGTGAACTGAGAAACGACCAATGTTTTCCTAAATAATATAATTCTGTTTGAAAATCTTCTTTAAGGCACCCTTTAATTATAATATTGGAGGTCTCAGTAATTTATTCTGGTGTCCTCTTGTTGAAGGAAGTCTTTTGTCGAGCGCTTTAAATCTAACATCTTTGCATTTCCCACTAGGATTTCTTCCAGAGATGACCAAACTTACGCTGCTGACACTAGCAGTGTTGCTCTGCTCATCACCGCCAGTAAATGGAGGAAAGGTGTTGGTGTTCCCAGTGGACGGAAGCCACTGGGTCAACATGAACATCATTGTTGAAGAGCTTCACGCCAGAGGCCATGAAGTCACAGTCCTGCGTCCTTCAGACACCTGGTACATCAAGCCAAACTCCCCTCACTACAAAGCTATCACTATAAATTCCCCAGCTGGATTCGACAAGCAGAACTTTGGGACATATGTCATGAACACAATAAAAATGAGGCGTTACGGCTCTTCACTGTGGTCTCGCCTTTCCCTGGAGTATGACCTATTGCAAACCTTTTATCAAATGGGTAAGCAGGTGCTTGAAATGGTGGAAAATATATTTGAAGATAAAGAAATGATGCAGAGTCTCCGTGATGCCAAATATGATCTGGTTCTTACTGATCCTACAATAGGTGGAGGTGTGCTTTTAGGTCACAGATTGGGTCTTCCGCTTGTCTTTAATGTCAGATGGACGATTCAGGGTGAGGCGCATCAAGCTATTGCACCTTCCCCTCTGTCCTATATCCCCATACCAGGAACAGAGCTGACTGATAGAATGACGTTTATGCAAAGGATTGAAAATATTCTCTATTACATCTTTACGTGTTTCCAAATTTGGTACGTTGACGATCCACTCTATCCTCCCTTTGTCCATCGTTACTTTGGCAAAGACGTTCATTACATGGAGCTGTTTCAAGCAGCTGACGTCTGGCTGATGAGAAACGACTTCACCTTCGAGTTTCCAAGACCAACAATGCCAAACATTGTCTACATGTCAGGGTTCCAGTGCAAACCCTCCAAACCTCTCCCTAAAGAACTAGAGGATTTTGTTCAGAGTTCAGGAGAACATGGTGTCATAGTGATGACATTGGGGACATTGGTGGAACATCTTCCTGAAGACCTCACTGAGGACATTGCTGCAGCTTTTGCAGAACTTCCACAGAAGGTGATCTGGAGGCACAAAGGAAAGAAACCATCCACACTTGGAAACAATACCTTACTCTTGGACTGGTTACCCCAAAATGATCTCCTGGGTCACCCCAAAACTAAAGTGTTTGTGGCTCATGGGGGCACTAATGGAATGCAAGAGGCAGTCTATCACGGAGTCCCTTTGGTTGGCTTGCCTCTCATGTTTGATCAGCAAGATAACTTCTTCAGAATGGCAACAAGAGGAGTGGCCAAGGTCCTTGACATTGCAACTGTGAATAAAGACATCTTCTTGGATGCCCTGAAGGAGGTTCTGTATAAACCTTCCTACAGAGAAAAGATGAAGGAGCTGTCCAGTCTTCACAGAGATCAGCCGATGAAACCTCTGGACCGAGCCATTTTCTGGATCGAGTACGTTATGAGGCATAAAGGAGCAGCCCATCTGAGGACAGAGTCCTACAAGATGTCCATGATCCAGTATTTCTCTATTGATGTTCTGGCATTTCTACTTACTATTGCTTTGATACTCCTTACCGTTCTTATTTATCTTGTCAAGTTTCTCTGGAGGAGTATTCTTTATAGAAGAAAAGCTAAAGAGGAATGATGAACATGCTTTTAAGCTGAAGCAAATGTATTTGATTATTTCAAACACTGCGGCTTGTATACAGTGATTTCAAATGAAGGAGAGTATTTCACAGAAGCAAAGAAAAAGAAGAATGAAAAGTAGTGTTGCACCGATACCGATACCAGTATTGGACGGGGCCCAGGTACTGCCCTAAAATAGTGGTATCGGCGAGTACCAACAAATAGGGCACCGATACCATTTTGAGAGCCATAAGTTTATTCAACTATTGTCACCCACTCCTGGTGGGCAATAAAAAGTTCTACTGGATTCACTTTGTATTAGATTTTTTCCTGCTTCACAAAGTTAGGCAGCAGCTCGACAAAGCCATGATGGCAATTATTTTACATTATTGTGGTATCTGTATCGGCCGATACTGCACAGCCAGGTATCGGGTATCGGTATCGGGGCCAAAAAATGGCATCGGCGCAACACTAATGAAAAATGAATGAATGAATAAAAAAATGGTAATATGTTTATATATTTAGTTTATTAAATCGTGCATTAAAAACAATCAGAAACAAAGTTTACTAATATTATTATAGAAAATTAAATATTCTAATTTGTGAAATGTTTACTCAGCAGCATAAACAGCAGTAGCAGTTTTATTGTTTAGAGTTTGGTAAACATTTATAGAATCTGAAGGAGAAATATATGAAGGACAAATAAGATTAAGAAAAGTGATCATATTTTTTTGCAAACATAATTCCCTTATTCGTTGTAATTTGGAAGTATTTTTCCTAAGGAAAAATTTGGTTAAGATGTGTATTTGATATGGGAACATGTATTACTAAGTAAAATAAGGCATTTAGACAGGAGTAATTAGAGTTTTTGTTGTATAAGAACCTAAAATTTGTGTTGTAATAACAAGTAAGTGGTTCTATAGAGGATAAGCTCTTTATGGTTTGTTTCAGTGATATTTTAGCAACGTGTTTAAAGAAAATTTAAATGTTTTTTTGAAACAACTGAGTTTCATTCTATAGAAACTGTCTCCGAAAAGGGAGCCTGATGTTTTTCTTGTTCCTATAAAAAGCAAAATGTCTCTGTATATGTATGAATCACTGAAGGATAGGTCTAATTTAATAAAATTCACCAAAAATTACATTTCATCCTAACATTTGTCATTAAAGCTGATGTTTTATTTTTAATTATTAAACCCGTTTGGAGGCAAACCCTCCAATGACATAACACTGTAACAAAACTATAAGTATTTGGATTTAAGGACGAATGAACTGATCAATATCCAGAGAAGAGGCTGATTGTTAGAGCTGGATCTAGAACTGGAATCTTAATTAAAATTCTTAATTACTGACACATACTGACAACAGAGCAGCTTAGTTTAGCATTAATCAAGCTATTTTTACATTAACTGCATTTTATTCTGTCACAACCAAATCTGTTTTGAAATACTTGCAAAACACAGAAAAAAAAAAGTTTTCAGCAAAACTTCAAACTAACGACTTAAAACCATGCTTAGGGCAAGAGTGTTAATTAATATTAGCAAAATTGATAAAGCAAGAGTGCTGAAGGACTGTTGAGGGGAGCTAAAAAGCAGATAAATGTGGCACAAATCTGTTCTTTTTTTTGTTGATGAATTGATCAGGTCATAATTTTTAAAACAGATATAATCCCTCAGATTTTCCCTATATAAATTATTCAAAGTCCTATTCACAGTCCTAAATGTGATTCTTCCTGAACTTGCAAACTGATGTCATTTTCCATCGACATCTGTCCCAATTCTGTGCCGGTAGAAGGTGATAGCAGCTAGCAAGATGGAAATCAGCTTTGACAATACCGCAACATCCAACACCTCATTAATATATGAAGCAAAATCTTTATCTGAGCCAAATTAAAAGGATCCTACAGGAGCTGTTTGAATGAGGACAAATAATGAATACAGATTTAGGCAAAATGTTTTAATTTAATCTGAACAACCAAGTAAAACAGCCATCAAAACTTTTTAATTGATTATGATGTGGTAAGAAAGAGAAGCAGCGAGGTGTTTTCCTACCAGCTGGTCACTGCTGAACCTTTTGTTTATTTATTGATTTTACTAAATAAAGCATATAAATAAAACTGCAGGGAATTCCAAAAGAAACAGAAAATTGACAAAAATATGATTTTAATTTTATTCAGTAATCATTTTTTTTAGGGATTTTATTCCTCACAAGTCTTCCTACTGTTATGGACTTTAAGCACTGCTGCCCTGCAGCAAGAAGGTTCTGGGTTCGATTCCTGGCCTGGGGTGTTTCTGCATGGAGTTTGCATGTTCTCCATGAGCGTGCGTGGGTTCTCTCCGGGTACTCTGGCTTCCTCCCACAGCCCAAAAACATGACTGTTAGGTTAATTGGCTTCTCTAAATTCTCCTTAGTTGTGCGTGAATGGTTTTATGTCCTGTTTGTCTCTGTGTTGCCCTGCGATGGACTGGTGACCTGTCTAGGGTGTCAGGTGATGGATGAATGGATGCAGGCCAATAATGGAGCCAAGCAGGTGAGCATTTCCCCAGAGGAGGTGTGAAAATAGAGAAAACTACAAAATCAAATGTGATAAAGTACAAAAAAATTGATAGCAGAAAAAGTAAGAGATAATGAATGATGTTTGATGTTTTAAAGCAAGACCTAAATGCCTGGAGGTTGCCAAGTTGTCGGTTGTAAGGATGAGTACAGCCAGCAGATGGCGACAGCAAACAATGTTTATGTCTCCTAATTGTGTCATGATCAACACTGTTTTTATTCAAAAACATGACTTGGCAAATCTTTAAAGATTTAGTCTTTTATTTTAAATAAGATTATGCATATTTTTTAAATAGGAAAATAGACCAATAGATCCAATAGGCCCATTAAATAACCTTTGACATGTTGTACATCAGAGATAACAAGCAGATTAAAGGGAAGAATAACTCACTAGTAGAAGAAACTCCTGCAGGACTCAGTTTCCAACTGTCGTGTTTCCCATCAGTTCCTGTAGTTTTGTGTTGGAGGGAGGAAGGACTGTAAGGAGAATGAATCACAGAAATAAACAAATTAAAATAAGCTGCATTAATGGTCCCATTTTATGACATCATAAGGGGAAAGCTGTCCTGAATGGTCTGTAGCTACAGGGAGGGAAGGCATCCGCTGTGGATTGCAGTACAGAGATTTTTGTGTGGATCATATCCAGTTCTTAGAAACCCGTGCTTTTTTACTAACATCGTTCTCTACGTCTCACAATCAACCTGCAGCAAATAAGGAAGTACAACCTTCTACGGGAGCCACTGATCATCCTCTATACTCATAATATTTAGTTCTTCCTTCTCTCATCCGTCACTCTATAGTTTAGCTCATTAACATAACAGGAAAGATGCAAACTTCAGCAAACAATCAGGTCTACAGTAAAGATTACCTTGGCTAATAGACAGAAATTAGACAGAAATCCAGAAAAGTGACATTTTCTTCTGATTCTACTTCTGATTTAATCACAATGAATAGTCAGCTATTCTGCTCTTAAACAAAATAATCATGCTGCATGGCTAGAACCTCATTTTCTTTTTATTAAGAATAAAAGTTGCACATAGACACACATATTTCTTTTTGTATCCTTCATTCTATTTTATCTAAAGTTTTTGTATAACACTTTCAAATGTCTGAAACTAGGCCATTAGTGCTCAAAAGTCAGGTTCCTTATTTGATCTTTCGATCTCAAATAAATCTGATTCTGATTATTTAGTTTTTGGAGGCACAGCAAGGTTTGGTAAATTCATTTAGGAAAAGAATACAAACTCATGGGGGATAATGAAATAATGCAGAAACAAGAGTGAAGCTCCACCTGCTTGGACAGACCAGCTTGTCCCTTATCCCGTCCTCCTTTAGCTCCCTTTGGTTGGATGGTCCTCTAAAGGCGCTCTCCAGGAAACTGAGCGGTAGCCTTCTGTTCACCGGCTGGTTAATCTGAGCTCTGCTGCGCAGCGTCAGAGCCGCCCGGCTGCCCACATAGTAGTGAACCAGATCTGGGATGGAGTAAAAGGCCTCTCCTTCCAGGCTGTACTTGGTCCTGCTGTGAGCCTCAGCGGCCTGAATCACCGTCTTCCTGATGGGTAAGTGAATGGTTTCCTGCTCCCAGCGGCAGGTGAGAACGAAGCCGCCCTTTATGGACTGTGAGTCTCTGAGGAGGAAATCTCCTCCGTTCACCAGCAAACTTTCTGACACCTGCAAAGATATTCAATCCATCCAAAGCAACAAAAACAAATAAATATATATCAGTTTCTAGTGTTTTATTGGTCTTATAAGAGTAAAAACTAAATTCAACCCTTGTAAAAGGCTTTGCTTTGGTCCTAAATAAACTTTCCTCAAACACAAAAATATAAAATATGACAGATTTAATGTCTCCAAAAAAAGTACAAGTTACTGTACACAAAAAAACCTGTTTTCTTAAAAAGAATATAAAATGTAACCCATTTCCTCATTATATTCTTGTTCCTAAGAACCAGCATTGTTTATTTCTAAATCAAAATATAACTCAATTTATCTGGTATACATAAGGAGAATAAGAATTCATAATATTTATCAGTATTTTATTACTAGAGTGGGCATGCAATAAGCTTAGGTGTGGGAAGGACTCCCTCTTGTGGTCAAATTGCTGCATTGCGCTGCTGGTAAAACACTCTAAATGCAGGTTCAAACCCATAATTTTCTTTTAACATTCCAGATTTGTGTGGTTTATTGTATTAAAACTAGGAGTCTTTTGTGGCATAAATTAATTATAAACCATCTAGAAGCTGTTAACCTAATTTAAAACATTTGCTATCAAAAAACAACTAATACAATCCCTCAAATTAAAATCTAATAATGCAGCACAGGATTTGTATTTCTTACTGCGGTCAGTAATAAACACTGCAGAGACTTTACCTAGTAATCTCTAAGTTAGAGCGGATAAGTTTATGCATTAAAGCAAACCAACCAGGCTGCAGAGGCTAAGTTTGATGTTTACTGTTATAGACATTAAACATTTACACTTTGGTTTCTGTAGGAAGGCCATCATCACCCATCATCATTAACCAACAGCTAATTGTAACTCCCTAGAGGAACACCTGTGCATAGCAGTGAAAGTCAGTGCACAAATAATCACTTTGGGCACGGGTCTAACTGGCATTGATTCAGTAGTGATCTGATTGATTTTACTGAGCTACAATTGACAGCCAGATGCATTATTTACCGTTGGCAAAGACTGTTTCCTTTAGAAGAGGTTTGCAGTTTCATTTAAATGTTTTTTTTTTTAAGCTGGATTGTTTGACAATCAATATCATTTAGTTGCAAACAAATAGGTGGTGATGTTCTAATTTCATAACTTCCCACAGCCCTCAATGAGTCATGCAATGGTTTATGGTTTGTACAGTCTGTCTGACTGCTAACCAATATAGAGTTGTGTGAAAGGAAGTAAACCTTGTTTCATTTGCAAGATGTATGGGCAATATAAGGGGACAAAAAAAAAACAGCTCTGTAGGTCTGAAGGTGAAATAATTATAACTGATAACAGTCATGCATGGTTGTAGAAAAATAATCTTTAAGCTAAAAAGAATATCCTTGAAAGACCATAAAACAATTGTGATGTTTCACCAAAATGCACAGAGGCTTGTTTGGAGAAAACTTATGAGCATGTACGCACATCTACATGATACTAACTGTAAAACACGGTGGTGGAGGAGTGGGGGTTCAAACCTTTTCCTCCAGATGCAGGAGCGGGCTCTTTGTTGTCTGAGTGATCGTGAACTCATGTTCAAAAAGTATTTAAGTCTTTGTGACAGTTTAAGCTTGGCTCAAAGTGGCTCATCAATAGGAAAATACTGTAATCTCACATAAAGTCCAAATCTGAAACTTTTTAATAGTGTTACCCCGATCCAGCACTAAAATGGTGGTAACAGTAAGTACCAACAAATAGGGCACCGATACCATTGTGAGAGCCAAAAGTTTATCCAACTATTGTCACCCATTCCAGGTACACTGCAAAAAATATAAATCTCAATAAGTTATTTTTTCTTAAAATAAGTGTGTTTTTTCTTGATTTGAGGAGGTACAGGTGCTGGTCATAAAATTAGAATATCATGAAAAAGTAGATTGATTTCAGTAATTCCATTTAAAAAGTGAAACTTGTATATTATATTCATACATTACATACAAACTCATATATTTCAGATGTTTATTTTGTTTAATTTTGATGATTACAAATGACAACAAATGAAAATCTCAAATTCATCATATCAGAAAATTAGAATATTACTGAAGACCAATAAAAACAAAGGATTTATAGAAATGTTGGCCAACTGAAAAGTATGAACATGAAAAGTATGAGCATGTACAGCACTCAGTATTTAGTTGGGCCTCCTTTGGCCTGTATTACTGCAGCAATGCGGCGTGGCATGGAGTCGATCAGTCTGTGGCACTGCTCAGGTGTTATGATAGCCCAGGTTGCTCTAATAGTGGCTTTTAGCTCTTCTGAATTGTTGGGTCTGGTGTATTGCATCTTCTTCTTCACAATACCCCATAGATTTTCTATGGGGTTAAGGTCAGGAGAGTTTGCTGGCCAATTAAGAACAGGGATACCATGGTCCTTCAACCAGGTACTGGTAGCTTTGGCACTGTGTGCAGGTGCCAAGTCCTGTTGGAAAATGAAATCTGCATCTCCAAAAAGTTGGTCAGCTGCAGGAAGCATGAAGTGCTCTAAAACTTCCTGGTATGTGGCTGCGTTGACCCTGGACCTCAGAAAACACAATGGACCAACACCAGCAGATGACATGGCACCCCAAACCATCACTGACTGTGGAAACTTTACACTGGACTTCAAGCAACGTGGATGAAGTGCCTCTCTTCTTTTCCTCCAGACTCTGGGACCTTGATTTCCAAAGGAAATGCAAAATTTACTTTCATCAGAGAACATGACTTTGGTCCTGTTTCTCTTTAGCCCAGGCAAGACGCTTCTGACGCTGTCTGTGGTTCAAGAGTGGCTTGACACAAGGAATGCGACAGCAGAAACCCATGTCTTTCATACGTCTGTGTGTGGTGGTTCTTGAAGCACTCACTCCAGCTGCAGTCCACTCTTTGTGAATCTCCCCCACATTTTTGAATGGGTTTTGTTTCACAATCCTCTCCAGGGTGCGGTTATCTCTCTTGCTTGTACACTTTTTTCGACCACATCTTTTCCTTCCCTTCGCCTCTCTATTAATGTGCTTGGACACTGAGCTCTGTGAACAGCCAGCCTCTTTAGCGATGACCTTTTGTGTCTTGCCCTCCTTGTGCAAGGTGTCGATGGTCGTCTTTTGGACAACTGTCAAGTCAGCAGTCTTCCCCATGATTGTGTAGCCTATAGAACTAGACTGAAAGACCATTTAAAGGCTTTTGCAGGTGGTTTGAGTTAATTAGCTGATTAGAGTGTGGCACCAGGGGCCATCAATTTTGAACCTTTTCACAATATTCTAATTTTCTGATATGATGAATTTGAGATTTTCATTTGTTGTCATTTGTAATCATCAAAATTAAACAAAATAAACATCTGAAATATATGAGTTTGTATGTAATGTATGAATATAATATACAAGTTTCACTTTTTAAATGGAATTACTGAAATCAATCTACTTTTTCATGATATTCTAATTTTATGACCAGCACCTGTAAGTAAGACACTTTGCCAATGGAACAAGACAATTTCCTTTTAAAATAAGAAAAAACTATTTTATCGTCTTATTTCAAGTAAATATTATCTAACTATCTTATTTTAAGAGTGAAAATACTCATTCCATTGGCAAATCATCTTATTTACCTGCTCAAATTAAGGCTAAATATACTTAATTTAAGCCATTTTTTACTTATTTCTGGATTGTTTTTGCAGTGTAGGCAATAAAAAGTTCAATTTGTATTAGTCTTTTTCCTGCTTCACAAAGGTAGGCAGCAGCTGGACAAAGCCATATTAGCAATTATTTTACATAGTATGCAGTTCTTCATATATATACGCATATAACACATCAATTTCAAACAGATGGTATCGGTGTCGGGGCCCAAAAATGGCATCTACACAACACTAATTTTAAGACAGGGGTGGGCAACTCCAGTCCTGGAGGGCCTGTATCCTGCAACTTTTAGATATGTCCTTGACTTAACACACCTGAATCAAGTAAATAGATAATTAAAAGGACTCGGGAGAAATTGATTGCATACTGGGGAGGTAATTAAACCATTTGATTCAGGTGTGTTGGACCAAGGATGAATCTAAATGTTGCAGGAAACTGGCCCTCAAGGACTAGAGTTGCCCACCCATGTTTAAGCATAAAAATCTGAGATAGGACATTTACAAAAGCTGAGCTGTGGAAAATTTCCCCACAACAATGTGAGAAGGACAAAAACATCTGAGAATCACGTTGATAAAGGTGGTTCTACAAGCTGCTCCATTTTGAAGGCTTCAAACTCATTTTGTCTATAATTTAGTTTAGTTCTTGAAAAGTTTTATTGTCTGTTTACACTTGAGTACTCATTTTCATGACATATTTCTAGTATATAGAAACGCATGCTGACCTTTATTATTAATCTGAAGCTAATATTACTGTTTTTCAGTAGCTCAAGATAAAAGTTAACTGAATATCTTTATGCAGCTAGAACAAACCTCCCAGGGTATCGGTCCGTGGTACCAGGCATGGCTCTTCAGGTTGGAGTGACTCAGCCTAAGCTCCTCCTCCAGCTGTTTCTTCATTTTTTCCGACGGTGGCTCCAACATCTCCTTGGAGAACTTAAAGGCATCACAGGCAGAGAATTAGACAGAAATCCAGAATTTCAAACCAAAAATAAAAGAAAAACAAGAAGCTTAGTTGCTAGTTTGCTGCATGTTGTCTGCAGATAAAGTGGAGCCTTCCCTGCTTGATTTTTTTTAAAAATATATTACAGGACAGACAGTTAGGAAGGGAGAGGGAGGGAGGAAGGACAGACATCTCCGACATTCCCACACTGGCATCACAGCAGCGGCACTAAAGGCCCGAAGCGAGACCCCAGAACGCTGGAGTGCTGGCCTCGTCACCCCGGCAACGTCATTGTGAGATGGGGACATCACTCAGCAGCCTTTGTTTATTGTGTTTTTATACAAAACCAAAACAAGCAAAAGAAGCTACTGTATGTTAGGATTTAATGCTGAGGATGAGCTGGGAATGGTTCAGGCTGACACTTCCCACCCCCTCAGCCTGATGGTTCCTCCCTCTAAACAGAGAACCAGAAAGTTGGGAAACCTGCCAGGACTATTTCAAAACAGAGAAAGAGGACGTGTGTATGTCAGCGTGTGTTTGTACACATTTATGTCGTCTATTTGGGTCCTCTGTAGAATGATGGAGCTTATAGGGACCACAGTCTATCATCAGATCTATCATTTAAGGGCCTAACATTTATGTAGTTACTTCATTGAATGGAAGTCAGAAAAAGGTCCTAATAACGGTTCAAAACAACTTTATGTTACGGGTTATTTTAAGAACTAATAAAGACTAAAGGTTAAGGTCAATGCAAGTAAAGTCACTAAAAATATATTAAAACACATTTTATCATTTTATGGTTTTGTTAATCATCCAGATAAAAGGAAATTCTCCCGAATCTCTGCACTTCACTGTTTGATTTGTTATTTTTGTCTTCGTAGCACCAGATCAGGTCTTCCCTAACCATACAGTTTTACAGAAAAAGATTGTGTGGCAGAAAACAGGAAGTTAGGCAAGCAGACGCTGTTTAAAAAAAGCAACAAGGGAGAAAGTCATGGTTTGGATGAAAGAGGAAGATATGGATAAATGTTGAAGAGGCTCACTTTCACATATTCTCCACCACAGTTCGTCACTTTTGTGAACCTGTAAAACAAAAAAAAGAAAACAATTATTTCCCTATATTTTTATATCATTGATATACATTTAAAAAGAATGTCTCAAAGTTGAGCAGAAGGGATGAAGGTCCAAACTGGACATAATTTGGGTTTAAATCGAGGCCAGTGATGGGTACCTTTACACCTTATGAATACCCTTGGTCAGCATTCTATGCAGACACACACTCACACCAAAGGACAATTTAGACAAGCCAATTAAGCTAACAGTATTTTTTTCTTGGGGGTTGTTGGAGGATGCCGGAGTACCCAGAGAGAACCCATGCATGCATGGGGAGAACATGCAAAATCCAAGTAGAAAGAGCCCAGGCCAGGAATCTAACCCGAAACCTTCTTGCTGCAAGGTAGCATTGCTAAACTCTGCTCCAGACTGCAGCCAGATGCAACAATTCCTGTGACATATTTTCAGAAAAAGGTAAGATCAGGGGCGGTTCTAATAATTTGGGGGCCCTGAGCACAATTAATCTGTCGTTCCCCAATCTTAAAAATTATCAATACAGCATGTCTGTTTCTCTTTACTTCCAAAACAACATTTCAATATTATTGTTGCGTAAAAAGCTGCAACAAGGAAGAGAACAAGCTTTGGACCAACAATAGTTAATATATTTCCACACAAGATAACTTCATTTTACCAATCATGGAGGAAAATCAACCAAGACAACTTATTTCAAGAGGGGTTCAACAAGGAGGAAATAAATAAAGTACAATGCATAAAATGTACTATGTATCTAAGACTCATTCAATAAACACTCTTTAGAATTATCTGGAGACTTAATGAAATATGCATAAATAACCCTCCTATATCTGCATTTTATGTTGTGCATTCCTATGAACAGAAAACCGAGATTTTGCTGAAATTTCTGGACATCTCAAAGAGAATAAGACAAATAACTTTTTTTGATAACATTTATTTTTATTTAAAATGTGACATTGTCATGATTTGCTTCTATAATCAGTAATCAATAATTGTAATATAATTATATAGCTAATAAATATGGAATGGGCATAATTAGTTACAGGATATAATTCTATAATCACTATAGAAGTAGCTTTTTTCTCTCTAATTTCTGTAGAATAAAATAACCAATAGAAGGATCTGTCTACAAATATAAGCCATGTTTCTATTCTGTAATTATATAACTTTCAGTTGAGCACCAGCACAACTCACTTTAAGTTTCTCACTTTAAGCACTGCCCTCGGTTAGATATCAATCAACTCTGTGAGGGTGTTTTTATTACTTATTGTTCCCTTGATGTTTTATCTGACTGTCGGATGATCCTCAGACACCCTAATATCTTCTCATACCTGTTGGAGTTGTGTCAAATTCTCAAAAACTGAATCCTTTACATATTCAACCCTGGTCTGGATCATATTTTATCCTTCCTTCTGTGGGGATAACAGTATCTATTGTCACATATTGTATGGAAATTAAAATAAAACTGAAAAAAACGTTGCAAAATTCACCACATTGACTGATTTTATTTCCTGTTTTATGCTGAGTATACCGCAGTTTTTCTGTCTTATTTTGTCGGCAGACATCTACACTCTCACCTCTTTTTCAGAAGCTACCTAATAAAAACAAACAGGAAGTTCACAGAAATGTTATTTAGGTAGCATCAGATATATATAAGTATATGTAAACAAAAAAACTGTTATACTTTTTCATGTACCTCTCATGGTACCTTACCAAATGACGCTTTGCAAAATCTAGTACTGTGTCTTTTGTTTTGTTTTTACAGTAAATATTTTAAATTTGTCCTATCTGCTGCTCCCATGTTTAGGGTTTGCCACAACAAGTCATTACAAAGAGCTCAAAGACTATCTCAAAGTTTTCACTCCTGACAAGAGATGTACTGATCTGATGCTGATATCAGAAATCCGTCCGATATTAGCCAAAAAAAAACGAATTCTGAAAACATATCAGCCTGCGTCTAAAAGCTTATTTGTTAACACGCTGATAGGAACATTCTGCTTCTTACTCGTTGGTTAATGATAAAAAGTTTAGTTTTTATCATATATATTGTTTATCTATTGTTCTTTTTGAGAATTATCACTTGATCAAGATGTTTCTATATAAGAGTTTTTTATTACAACTCCCACCAATGTTGTTTTCGTCAACGATAAAGATGATGAAATCATATCGTTGACGCTCTTTTTTTTCATAACAATAACGAAAACTGACGAGCTAAACATGGAACTTTGATGAGTAAAACATCACTAGCATAGGTTTGAGTTTTAGTCCCACATAGCAGTCAGACGTATAAACTGCATCATTGTGCTGTAATCAGCTAAGCAAATAATCCGTGCTGCTGCGTCTTCATTGATCTGCCGCCCACCTGCCGTACAGCGCTACACGTTCTGCAGAAGCACAGATAGATCACGGCAGCAGCGACAGGGTCTGAGAGAATAATGGTCCAGTAATGCGCTCAACTCTGAAAAACTGCTCTAATCTTCCATCTGTTCTTGTGCAGAAATGCGTCTTTGTGCGCCTAGCTCCGAGTCTGTGCTTCATGCTCCACTCTGATGGTTCGCTCTCAGCACTATGGCTCTTCTATCTCTACTTAATAAACTATGTAGCTGATCATCCTCTGCCATGCGTAAAAAATCCCTTTGTCTAACTATCAAGATTTTATTTTATCTATCTCAAAAGAGGTAATAATAAACATGCTTTAAGGAATCCCTAAATTACATCCAAATAAGTATTTGATTGCATATTGTTTATTTTGGGATAAAGAGCCAGATGGGAAGGTACATTGATCTATGAATATTTCTCTCTCATTGTTCTCAATTCTATTTATTTAAATATGATGTAAATGTTTCCTTTGATAGTTCAACATTTTATTTAACATATTAATTCAATTTAGGTCTGGATTGCCATTGCAGTACAAGGAAATTATATAGTTTCTCTCTGTATTTTTTTATATCAAAACCCTATTAATTTAAATCTATTTTGACCCCTGAGCAGTGTCACTAAGGGGCAGATTCCAAGAAATAAAGCCAAAATTGCCAAAGTAGAAAGAGGAATGTTTTGTTCTTTGCTTTTTTAGAGCAATGAAGATTTTATGGATCTGTGTGTAATACATAATTCATGGCAGATCAGGAAGTGTTGGTCTAAAACCATTCCTTTATTCTACATTTTGTTAGCTTGTCTGTCTGCTATATTAACCAATATGACGTGTTGAACTAGATCTGCTCATTTAACAACTTTTGAGAGACACTTTATTTTAAAGCAGGCCGTTAATTCATAAAAAAAGTTAATTTTAATTCTGTAAATCAAAGTTTTCTGCCAACAGCAATGATGAACTGTAGAGCAGCATTCTATACCAAGCTATTGTAGTATCTAGGCTAGAGCTGTCAGTCTGATAGAGAATGTGGTTGTTATTCGACATTGTAAAGATTAACTTTTTTTTTTGCAATATAAAACTGACTAAAACTAGACTAAAACCTTTTTAAGTTTTAGTCGACTAAAACCGACTAAAGCTAAATCTAAGATGGCTGTCAAAAACATTCTCCCACGATGATAAGGAATGTCTTCTTGTAGGGTGGGGCGGTCTCGTGTGCACCTACCTCCATCCAGTTTGTAAGAAGCAGGTTATGAAGCATATGGGTGTTTAAAATAGCTGGATACAGAGTGCAGTTGGACAGTTATGGCTGCTATTCACAGGAGGGTACAAAAAAAGTTTACAAAGAAGATGCATAGTATCTGTCCACTGACATGATCATGTCTTCACCTTTGCTGGTACCAGTGTCCTACCTGCCTGTGCTTTGGGATGGAAATCTGCTGTTGCGTTCAGCAAAGTCCCACCTGGAAAACTTCCAGAACTTTTCCTCTGGAATAAAATGTAATTTATTCCTCAATTAATTAGACATTTTCTATGTAACAGAAAAATTATCTGTGACTAAAGATACGAACATAAGCAAAGATTGTTGGGCAAGCTCGTTTTACCAGGAAATTTTAAAACCAGCAGCGACGCTTCACATTAGTCTCATTGTGGGAGATTATACAGATGTAGTTTAACCAGAAGTGGCTGATTTCCTCAGCTCTATGGTAACAACAGCAACAAGCTTATTCTCATACTGTAGCAACGCAGCAACAGTTCAGTTAGATAATGAGTGTCATGTTAAATTGTCGCTGTAGGGACATCTTGCTCTGCTAACACTTTAGAAAAATAAAAACACACAAAGACACAGTAAGTCTTCAACACTGGCAAAAGCTGTCAAGAAAACCGTAAAGTGGAAAACACAAAGATATCTGATCATCAGACTAAGTTTATCTATATATTAGCCTTAGCAAGTTTATTTTTTCTCATGTACTGGTTGTTAATTGAAGGCTATCTATCAGACATGCTTTCCTGTCTCCTGTCTGTCTTCTTGCACAACCTTCTCCCAGCAGCAGTGAGTTCATTTGACACCACCCAGCAACAACTTGCAACACAACAAACTTCTCCAAGGACGACAGAGAATAACTCTGCTTCCAAAGTCAACTCATGCATCTACAAATTGTCTGCAGATAGAGAATACTTCTTCCTCTCCGCTCTATCTGTTTGTTACATCCGCTGGCTCATTACCAGGTCCGACAGGAGTCACAACACTGTGCTCAGAACTAAGAGGGGCTTATAAAAAAGACAGAGAAACACCCAAAGCGCAACGTCTTCATCCTGACAGCGGTGATGTGTTCAGTCAGTGAAACAATGCAAGTTGGCAGAGAGGAACTTCTTGTCTTTGTGTTACTCTGTTCTTCCTCAGCTCGCTGCATACTTCAGTGAGACTAGGGAGGCGACCTTTTGTTCCCAAACACAAACTCTGAGAGCAGACGGCACAGATGTGAGATCAGCATGAGAAACTCCACAGAGCTAATGTCATCAGAAGTCTAGATTCCCAGCTCGTGTTGCTCCAGCTTGTCAGGCTTAAGGTTATGGAGATAGCAACATGAAGTGACAAAACCCTCAACGTAAATCAGACATCTATTGA